GTGTGAGGATGTTAAAGGCTCTTCATGGAACCATCAGTACCAGGAACGAACCTTTATCTGCTCACCATGTTGTTCACCGAAAGATTTCTTGCCAGTTTCTTTTTTTTAAGCATGTACAGAATAAATAAAATGGTTCTGGCATATGGTTTTGGTCAAGATGAATTTTCATTTTTGGATTAACTACTCCTTTAAATGAGTTCAGCCTGATGGCGTAGAACAGAGGAGATGGGGCAGAAAATTCCATTTGGGATTTGAGATCTGATCTATAATTAGGATGTTCTTGAGTATTAACATCGCTGTGGCTTGATTTTACATCATTCTCTATTACGAAAGTGCGCATAATCAGGTTGACACACTCAACCATTTTCTCGTTTCTTTATATTATAGATGCCGTAGCATGTACAACTATAATTGCTTCAAGCTCTTTGATTAAGAAGCATTCATATTAGATTATCTTGAAGCTCTTAAACCATAAACATCCCTCACTGAAAATACCCTTTCAGAGCGTCCAGGTTTTAACCAGAATGGACATGGAGATCATCTGATCGTCCTCAAGGCTATTCTGGCTGGACTCTTCCCAAACGTCAGTCATCCGTTCACATGTGGACTACATACATAAATCAAAGGGAAACAAATCTTCTTTCTGAAATAAGGCATAATTTACAGTTGAAAACCTTACAAATGCGACCGAACTGCTGCCTTATATGAAACATCCCCAAGCTGCTTTTGAACACTGGACACTGGTAAAAGAAATCTGACATGCATTATTATTGTCTTATTCAAAGAGACAGTCCAGGCCCGGCATTCAAATGGCCGTGTAAGAGAAGAAAAAAAATCGTGTGAGGCTTTGCCAAAAGTTCTTCACAACAGACTGACTCCTACATGTGTTTAGGGGTATTGTGAAACCTTGGACTTATTCTGGAAAACAATAGGGAGAGGGCTTTCATCTGACTTGAAAGGCTGAAGAAATGTCTGCAAAGAGATCCATCTACTGTGTGCCACGATACGAAAGAGGTGAGAAACCTTTTGTGCATTGTAATAGTCAAGAAAAAAGATGAGCGTAAAACATTAATAGGGACATTTTGGAATAACGGGGATACTAAAATGAAAAAGAAAGAAGGTCACTGGTTCGAGTCCCGGCTGGGTCCGTTGCCATTTCTGTGTGGAGTTTGCATGTCCTCCCAGTGTTCATGTGGGTTTCCTAAGGGTGCTCCGGTTTCCCCCACAGTCCAAAAACATAGGTGAATTAAACAAACTAAATTGGCTGTGAATGTGAGTGTATGGGTGTTTCCCAGTACTGGATTGCAGCTGGAAGGGCATCCGCTGTATAAAACATATGCTAGATAAGTTGCCCGTTCATTCTGCTGTGGTGACCCTTGATGAATAAAGGGACTAAGCAAAAGGAGAATGAATGAATGAATTGGATCTGCTATAAATTTCCTTATTTGGCAGGTTCCATTGTGACAAAGTGCCCCATTTTCTACAGGCAATAATAGTGGAAATGTTTGATAGTTTTGTTTTGTTTATTGTAAACAATATTAGTTAGAAATATTAATTTAACGTATATAAATATTCTATTTATGAGAGTCCCAGTCTGTTCCAACTGTTTTTTTATGAATATATTTACCCATTTAAAGATAAAAACCAGTGATTGGAATAACAGCACTATAAATAGATGGTTACTATTGGCGATATTTTATTCAGTAACTAGTATTAAAATTAATTACTGTTTCCCCTGTTACAATGCTGTTACTGTTTCTGACAAAATAATGCAGGTTATAACGGAGAACACTGAGCAACATCTCTCAGCTCTTTCTCTGGGGTGTGTGTGTTCAGGGCTAGGGCGAGACACATAACCAACCAGTGATTGTGATTGGTGTGTCTGTGAACGTTGTGTAAATGAGAACGTGATGATTGGCTTAGACAGACTACATTTCCATCATTTGCCAATCAAAGGTAGGAGTAGTGCGGGAGTTCACACACAAGCAGACGCACAGTCAGTCCCTTAAAGTTCTAAATCAGGGGTGCCCAAACTCGGTTCTGGAGGGCCAGTGTCCTTCATATTTTAGTTCCAACCCCAATTAAACACACCTGAACCAGCTAATCAAGCTACTTCCAGGTATACTACAAACCTGCAAGCAGGTGTGTTGAAGAAAGTTGGAGCTAAACTATGCAGGAAACCGGCCCTCCAGGACCGACTTTATACACCCCTGTTTTAAACCATCTTTTGTATTTTATTGTGCAACTAGTAATGATAATATTCATTTATTCATTTTCTTTTCGGCTTAGTCCCTTTATTAATCTGGGGTCGTCCCAGCAGAATGAACTGACAACCTATCCAGCATATGTTTAACGCAGCGGATGCCCTTCCAGCTGCAACCCTTCTCTGGGAAACATTCATACACACTCATACACTACGGAAATTTAGCCTACCCAATTCACCTGTACCACATGTCTTTGGACTGTAGGGGAAACCAGAGCACCTGGAGGAAACCCACGCAAATGCTGGGAGAACATGCAAACTCCACACAGAAACGCCAACTGACCCAGCCAAGGCTCGCACCAACCACCTTCTTGCTGTGAGGCGAGAGCAATACCTACTGCGCCACCACCTCGCCGTAAAAATAATATTTAAAAGGATATGTTGAATTTGATAGTTGTCTCTCACATTGTCCCACAGCAACATTAAATTGGTGTAGATTAGTGTAATATAATGTTTTTTATTTATTTTATAGTCATGTGACAAATTAGATTTTTTTAAAGTAACGCAATAGTCACTTTTCTGGGTAATTAGTTATTTTATAATTATGTACCTCAGTTACTATTTGTTACAAGTAACTAGTAACTATACTGTAACTAATTGCTCTTTTAAAGGAACGCGCCCAACACTGATGAAAACCCAAAAAACTATCACAAATTTACACCATTATTGCCTAATACACATATATATGTGTGTGTTTTATGAAATAATAATTGTCTTGCAATACATAATAATTTTTTTAGAATAATTTTTATTTTATTTTACCATAGTAAATTGGAAATTTGTAGTATTCATATTTAATATAATTATGCTTAGATAAAAACATTTTTATGTAGTGTATAGTATTTTATAATTTACCATAAGGTCATATGCAAGATTTTTTCCTTTTAATCATAATAATTTGACATAGCCCATCTTTTACGTTCTTTTCAAAATGTAATTTCTCAAAATATTTCTTCATAAATTACTTATTAATTCTTAAACAATATTACAAATGTGAGAAAAGATACTTTGTATGTTAATAAATGCTTTATTAAGTCAACTTCATCCAATCAATTCAAGATACACAAGTGAAACTGTAACAAATGAAAATAAATCTTCGCAATCTTATCTAAGATAAAATTAATATACAGTTTAAACATTTCTAAATAAAATGTTGTATCATAATATATTGTTAAATTCTTATATTGTTGTTGTTTGATCCAATTTCATGTACTGCATATTTGACACTCCTTTGACACTATTCGGCAATGCCTAAACTTTACAGTAATCTTATTTTTTTACATAAGATTGCAAAAATTTAGTTCATTTGATGCTAAGCCTTTAATTGTCATGTATTGGAGATTATAAAGCATAAATAGTCCTCACTTTAAATCAGGTCACAAAACTGCATGAAGTTGAGTTGAGTTGAATAAAGCATTTATTAACAAAGTAACTATTAATATATATGTTAACTTGAATAGTTCATTAATCCTTTACTTACACATTCTGAATGATCTTAAAAAAAACACTAACTATTCTAAAGTAACTGGTTTGTAAATAATGCAATACTTAATTTATTAATGAAAAAATAACCATAAATTAGTAAAGTGCTGAGTTAATAAAGCATTTATTAACAAACAAAGTAACTTGTATGCCTGAATAATAAGATAATATAAATGTTGATTTGAGTAGTTTGTTAATCCTTTACTCACTCATTCTGATTCATCATTAAATAACTGGTTTGTAAATAATGTGAATCTTCATTTTGGTATGAAAAATTAATAGAATTAATAGCAACAATAGAATAATTTAACAATATATTATAATAGAAAAGTTTAAATTGTTCAATTTTTTTCATTTTAGATAAAGTTGCAATTAATTATTTTTCATTTGATAGTTTCATTTGTGTATCTTCAAATGAAAATAAATGAATAAAGTCATTTATAAAGCCAGTTATTTATTTGCTGTTCATAATTTAACGGATCCTTTAATTGTCATTCGTAAGGGATTTGTAAAGCATAAATAGTCCTCACTTTAGATTAGGTACAACTGGATGATAAATAAAACATTTATTAACATGCAAATTAACTATTAATAAATGACTGGATAATAAGAATTATAAACTTTAAATTGAATAGTTTATAATTATTTACTAGCTTATTCTAAATTATTTAAAAAAAAAACACCAACTTTTCTGGTTTGTAAACAATGTGATACTTCATTTAGTAATGAAAAAATAACGATTAATAAAGTATGAAAACACAATCATTAAGCACATTTTACATGTGTGTTTAAGTCAAGAATACAGCATTTGCTTACTAACGTCTAATAATGTAGAGTTAATGCTTAACTAATAATCAATGAAGAATGAAAAATGATTAGTTTAGTTGGTAAATGATTAAAGTATATTTATTATAAAGTGTTACCCAATATTGTTTATTAATATAAAAATGCTAATCATTAAAATTAATGTAGCTATTTAATAATTTTATTACATTCGGTTTTATCATCTAAAGCACCATTACTACTCCGATTTCCATCTTTTCCCAATTAACATGCAGTTTTTTACAGTGATAAGACTGATGTCTGAAACTGCGAGCATCCATCTACAAGTACCCATGGTATAATCTGAGAGTTGAGCTGCAGTGTAACTTTAGCCTGGTCCTCCTCGTTTATTAGTCCACCAATCAGCGAGCAGCGCTTCCTCCCCCTCCAGTCACTCTAGTATTTAGCATCAGAGTCCAGGATAAAGTTTCCCAAAAATTAGGAAAAAACTTCCTGCGGGAGGAAAACCGTGCCAAGCTCTACTTCTGGAAGTAGGGGACGCGCGCAGTGTCAGGACTTCAGGAGGACAGACAAAATCCCCAACAACAAAACGGATATTACTAGTCTAAACCACGGAACCAAAAGTGGAGATCGTATTTTCTCCTCGTTTCTTTAAAAAAGAAATGGAAGAGAGTTCTAGCTCTCCCGTCTCCCCAGTGGACAGCCTGGTGACCAGCGAGGAGGAGCTGGACAGACAGCAGAAAAGGTTCGGGAGGAAAAGGAGGCAAGGAAGGAAGTCGAGCGAGGACAGCAGCAGCCCGAGCTCCGTCAATAAACGTAACAAAAAGCCGAGCCCGAGCAGCACTCAGTCCTTCGAGGAGCTCCAGAACCAGCGCGTCCTGGCGAACGTACGCGAGCGGCAACGGACTCAATCGCTGAACGAAGCCTTCGCGTCTTTGCGCAAAATCATCCCCACGCTCCCCTCGGATAAACTCAGCAAGATCCAGACGCTCAAACTCGCATCCAGGTACATTGATTTCCTCTGTCAGGTGCTGCAGAGCGACGAGATGGACAACAAGATGTCCAGTTGCAGCTACGTCGCGCACGAGAGACTCAGTTACGCGTTTTCAGTGTGGAGGATGGAGGGCGCGTGGTCGATGTCTGCGTCCCACTAGCAGCGAGACGCGTCCTGATAATGCCGAACGGGTGGGTACTGTAGAGAGATGCCAGACTTCAGCAAGTATATACTGTAGTAGAGTTACTGCTCTTTTAGAAGTGGATGTGCGGTAAGCTGCATTAGAGAAACTCCAGCTGTTCTGTGTGCACCGCTGACACTGACAGTTCAGTGCTGGAATGCAACACATTATCTGCTCTTGGCACCGTGAAATTCGCATTTGTTTAGATGGTAATGCGCAGTTAAAGTTGTATTCAAGGGATAGTTCACTTAAAAAAAAAAATAAATAAATAAATATATATATATATATATATATATATATATATATATATATATATATATATATATATATATATATATATATATATATATATATATAAGTTTTCTTAATATTTTTACTTACTGAGTTTCTGTTAAACGCAAACGAATACATTTTGAAGAAAGCTGAAAATCTGTAACCATTGACTCTCATTGTAGAAAAACTGAAAGTCAGGGGTTAGATTTTCAGCTTTCTTCAAAATGTCTCAACAGAAGAAATAATCTCAAAAAGGTTTGGAACAAGTGAAATGAGAATAAATGATGTCAGAAGTTTTAGTTTTGGGTTGTTAATGTTTTTAAAGTATTTTTTTTTCACATGATATGTGCAATTATTTAAAGTTTTATCATATTATTATTTATATGTAAAGAAAAGTAACCAATTTCACCAATTCCAATTAATTAAAAAATACAATTTTCTTTCTGAGCCTATAAAACAAAGGCATTTTAATTATTTTCCAGTTAATCAAGATAGCCTACGTAGGGTAATACAATGTAAGTTGCATTATGTTTAAAAAAAATGAAATAGGATAGGCAATTTATTGCATAAATGTTTACTACAGAAGACAAAGCATAAAGTAATGAGAACATTCAAATTAATACGGTTATAAATAGTATCATATGTTCACAACACTAATAATCTGGTGAAAAGGCCAGAAAGGTGGGTTACACCAGGGCATACATGTATAAGATATTATAAAATGCTAGGCCTCACGATTTCCTATTTGGTCTAAATTAATGAGTAAACATTTTAATAATTAGCACGCTTTTTAGACAAACATAATATTGCAAATGCTATAAGGAGGGAAAATACACCGGAGCGCGCACATTTGATGTGAGAATTGACTGTGCATCGTAATTACTATAATATTTAGTGGATTCATCGACTGCTAAAGCGTCTAACGAGACAATATTTTTTTGTGTGAAATCACAATAAACATATAGCTAAATCACAGATATTTCGGGAACCGTAATAGGAAAAGCTGGGGTGTTTTCTAGAAGTAAGTGTTGCTTTTTTCTCTCGGTTATCACACCGGGTCAAAACATTTCCGACAGTTATCCAGAACAAATAAACACACATCTATTCACATTATATCGTCGATCTCAAGAAAACGAACAACGTCAACCGTGAGAAGCTCCTCACGGATCATTTAGATTGAGTAAAATTGCACTCTTTCGTGAATAAAATCGAGATTTGTGAAGTGATTTATACTGGTTGTAAAGATGCAAAGCACTTTCCTGAACGCTGTACAAACGACATGCGATGGGAAATCATCATATGAAATATTGAGGAAAAAATCGGATGAATTTGAACGTTTTATACGAATTGAGAAATTAAAGTGCCTCTCTAAAAATACCTCTAAAAACAAACGTTTAGCTTAATTCTTCTTTTACGTTGTATATGCTTTGTTTTTGAGGGGATAAAGTGTTGTGGTGTTCAATAAAGCACCTGCAGTGCAGCTAAAATAATCTATAAGACATCACAAACGTGAAGTCCTTTTCCTTATTAAGGGAAATATTAATTAGGAGAGATGGTGTTTATACTTGTTAAATAACTGAGAACCACTAAAACCAAAGGCATCTTACAATTACAAGCTAAAAATGTGTGCTACTAAATGATCATTCTTTAGCAACAATACACAGAAAAAGACATTTGTTGTTTGTTTAAAAAACTTATTTACAATTAGCTAAAACAACAAAAATCTTGAGTTTGTAATGGGACAACTTATTTGTTTTTTGGCCTATCCACTTAAAATTGTAATAACTAATAAGTTAACTTATTTCTTTTATATTGTCCCAACACAAATCCACTGTGTGGAACCCTGCATTGTTTACAGTGTACCATCAAAGATTGTTAGATCATTTGATTTAAATGTAAATTTAATTTTGTATATTATTTATTAAGCTAAGAATTTTGCAATGTGGTCCTACAACTATTGTCTTATATGAAGCAAAACAAAATAAAGCAATAAAGTAGGGTATAAAGAAGCTTTAATTTGCTACACTGTAAAAAATGTAATGACAAAAAAAGTCAAGACAACAAATATTTTTTTGTGTTGCTTTAACTTATTTTAATACGCTAATGAAATTTCATCTACATGTTTGTTACTCTATACAAAGTTTAACTTAATATTTTGAGCCACAATATGTTGAGATTAATAGAAAAGTTAATTATTTCTGACTAAAGAAATAGGCAGCAAGATTTGTTTACAGTGTTTATTAACACAAAAAATAATAATGAAAGTGAGTGGTTATTATAATTATAACAATCCCTTTTTTTCTAGTGCTCTCATTTCACACACTAGATGATCAAAATGTTAATTGTAATTATATTACAAAGCTGTCATATTGATTGGTGTGCATTTATTTGGATAAAGAAATAAGTGCTACCAAGAAATTCAGAGGAAAGTCAGGTGTACGGTTTCGAATTTCAGACCAAGTGACCTCTTAAAACAGTTATTTTCCAGTGACGTAATTCCACCTGGGATTTGTGCAGCATGTTTGAACCAAGCCTTTTCCTGTATAAGCATGTGCTCCCACTCAAAATTAAATAATGGGATCATTAATAGCTTCCCATTTTGTTACGTTTTAAACCAAGGTTGTGCATTCAACCGCAGATGAACCTTGAAGTTTTAGAACTTCGAAGAAAATTCCTTATTTAAAGCAGATTTTTGTAACTTAATGTTGTTTTTTGTTCTTCTTTCCGTAGACTGTTTACTTCCACTAATTTTGAAGATGCCAAAGGATTATTCGATGAACCTCTAAACCTCAGTGACGTGGCCAAAGGACATTCAGTGGATACATCTACGGACTTGAGCATCCTCATGAAGGACACAATAAAAGGGACTTTTTAATATACTTAGAGGAAAAGTAGATGACGTCTTCTGTGTCGTCAAATACATTTAATCTTTTTCACAAGTTATTCTTAAATGTCGCCATGATGATAGTACAGGAAGGCTATCTGCTATCTGTATGGAAACTATATTTCATGTCTGTCTCTAAACAGAAGAGTTTATATATATATAAGAACAAAAAAAAAAAACTATTGTACATAGGCTACCTGCGAGTATTGTCAATTTTAAAGGGACCAATGCAATTATGAGCAATACTTTCTTGAAGTACGCTGCATGGATAAATGCATACATTTGATTTTTCCTATGCAACATTTTTCGATTTCCATCCAATGTTTATTTTGCTTATTTATTAAAACATATTTTTGAACATTTAGGCTGATTTTCATGTGTTCACGTCATCATATGTCAGAATTGTACTACTAATAAAGTGCGTTTAGGTTTTCTGTAACAAAATTGAATGATAAATTAGTCCTGACAGCATGTTTTTAGGTCTTTTGTAACTTATTAAACTAAGTTAATCATGTTCTAACTTAATTTTATATGTTACGCAAGCTGATTTGAGTCAGTTTGACATAATTGAGAGAGAATTTTTCAGTTTACCATATTATGTCATGGCAAAAAAAAAAAAAAAAAAAAAAACAGATGAAGTTTACCACATTTTATAAATACCACTTTTCTATAATTATACAAATATTCTAACAATTTAAAGTCATTAACAGCACTAAATAATACACAAGATAAAATGCATAATAGTAAAAATAATGATAATATATAAGATTCAAATCTAAAACAGTTTTTAAAGGTTTACTTTTTATTACAATTTCAATTACAATTCGAATGATTCACATTTAAAAATATTTAATATAAAGTGTCTCCAGATAAAAGTCATTGTCTGATAAGGTAAAAAAAATAGGGCATTACACAAGAATATGTTAAACAGTTTGGTTTCTGTGGCAATATTGACATTTTGGGGGTTCTTCTCCTTTGAGTAAATGCTCATGTGTGAGCCTTGTTTGTCTGATACGGCATCTTCTATAAGCAATCTCATCATGTCTTGAGGTAGGGTTGTTGCCATTACATGAATTAATCTTACAATACTAAACAGGCTGAGTAACACGATACAAAGTAGTATTGAGATACTGTAATTCATAACTCAAATTATAAGGAAAATTGTCAGAAATACTCTATTTTATGTTATAATAGGCCTACTTGAATGTAATTCATAATTCCCTCAAGGCCCAAAAGTATTATCTGCACCTCACTTCACTTAAATTTATTCAATCTTCTTGTTTGTTTTGTAGATAACTGACCAACAAATCATACATTAAAATAAAGACAAATTATGCTGAAGGAAATTCGCTACAAAAGAGCATTTTTCCAACAACATTAGGTTACAGTTGAAGTCAGAATTAATTATTAGCTCCCCTTTGATTTTTTTTATTTTTTAAATATTTCCCAAATGATGTTTAACAGAGCAAAGAAATTTTCACAGTATGTCTAATAATATTTTTTTCTTCTGGAGAAGGTCTTATTTGTTTTATTTCGGCTAGAATAAAAGCAGTTTTTAATTTTTTACAAGCCATTTAAGGTCAAAATTATTAGCCCCTTTATTTTTTCGATAGTCTCCAGAACAAACCATCGTTATACAAAAAAACTTGCCTAATTACCCTAACCTGTAATTTAAGCTGTATAGAAGTGGCTTATAAAATATCTGGCAAAGAGAATATAAATCATTTATTAGAGATTTGTTATTAAATCTATTATGTTTAGAAATGTTGAAAAAACAGAAAACTCTCCATTGAACAGAAATTAGGGAAAAAATAAACAGGGGCTAATAATTCAGGGGGGCTAATAATTCTGACTTCAACTGCTCAAAAATTGTTTCAATGTTTCCTGTTGCTATTTTGGGTTTTTCATCTTTTTTTTCAGTCTTCTCAGGTAACAACCCAAAGTACTTCAAAATTTCACTTTCTGAGTCATTCATTTACAGAGATTGTCCCAGTCGCTAATAAATCATGTTAACAGAAACAGAAAAGAACTGATTTAGATGGGCGTTTGAACTAAAGGGCACAAATTCTACACAGTTTTGCAACCTTAAAGAGCTCCACAGACTATTCAAATGAAATAGTTGATTGTTGCAGAAATGTGTGAGCATTTCAGTGACTTTTCCACATGCATCATTATCTTTATTAGATAAACCATTAATGACGATACTACCGTTTACAAACAATGGTGGCACCACCAGTATTTTGGAGTCATAGTATCACGATACTAACATAGTATTGGTAAACCCAGCAACCTTATCTTGAGGTAAAAAATAAATAGGATATCTTCCTATATTTCTGGCTGAATTTAAAAAAAGTTTATTTTCTAAGCACTGATTCCATTCTGCTAGCCATTTGTTTAGAAAATAGCCTTTTATCCGTTGTTTTAAATCCGAAGGTAGGATTTCGCACATAATATAAGTTCAATGGACTCATAAGGCTAATTTGATTCAGCTTAAAAAATTAAGGCAACCAGGATTTCTTTTCAGTGTACTCTTGTTACAAAAAGCAACTGTTATAAAACAGTGCAGGTTCATTAGCTAAAGAGAAAGTCAAGTTTACTTCTAAGCTCATGAAAAAAAGGTTGTCCGCTTTAATAAGAAGAAATCACTGAATCCAGACGGCTAGAGGCAAACACTTTAACAACCACAGATAACCACCGCATTTAAATACCGGACCCCTACCAGACCTTTTCATTTCTCCTTAAACTCTACACCAACGCTCACAAAGCATTTAATTGTTTACATCTCATTTTCCCAGGCTTAGCTTGATAGAAATCTACTGCCGAGGCAATAATGTTTGATAAAGGCTCAGTTGTTCTGTAGGCCTGTTCAAGAATAATGCAACTTTTGCTTGCTGATGGTATCCGAAAATGATTTGTAGTGTACTTTGTAGTGTTCCTATAGACACATATTTAAGTTGTTGTTTTTATTATTTTAATTGCTTATATAAGATCTTTTATATTTGAAGTCAGCTAATGAACTTTATAAGTCGGGTCAATCTTAAATAACTGAGCTGAAAGAACAGTTCTTGAGTTTTTTAATGGGCAACTTAATTGTTTTATGTTCAATCAACTTTGATTGGTTAAAAACCATTAGGTTAACTTAATCGATTTGCATTAAGGCCAGATAAAGGGATTGTGTGGATCTAGAACCCTGTATTTTTTTTACAGTGTGGTTATACAACAGATTAAAAATGACATTCAAACTGGTTTTTATACATTCTATAGCCCAAATTGTTTTTCAAAAAACGTTTTTAATTGATATTAATTTAATTTGCATTATATTAATTTAATTAAAAATGTTTTAAGAAGATTTAATTTGGCCATCAAGTGCAAAAGTGTTTTAGTTTTATGTCTCACTAGTCATTTTTCTTGAAAAATAAAATAAAATAAAATAAATCTTTCTGCATGCTGGACAAGCATGTTTCACATACAATAGCAATGGGTTATATGCACACGGACTTTTATTTTTTAGCCAGGCAGCCCAATGGCTTCCGGTGAACTGTCTTTCCATTACAAAATTGTCACGTTTGAGGTCTGATTTCTTTAAAAATTTGCATTCTTCACTGGCTGTTAGACATGCAATATGAAGTAGGTCTCAGATCAGACAAGAAGCATTGCATTAAATTCCATTTCCCCCCCGCACTATGTTTTTCAAATGGAATTTCTGCACTAGCCTGTTGCTACTGACGGCACTAGTGGTTGCAATCTCATTTTACGCTTGAACAACTAAATGAATGTTGAAGTCTATTTACCTGAATGTATTGTAATTATGTTTCAGCATCAATGCTGTAAACACAACCATGTAAAATTGATAAAAGTGACATTAAGCTTTACCGGAAATTCATCATTGGCTTTAAAACTAGCTGTGCATATACCCCATTTGTTGCTAAAATAAATGTACATTTTTAAAAGCCTCATTGCTTTATTTGTAAAGTCAATTACAATAAAAGATTCTGCCAGACTGCAAATAGCCTATGCCAACATATTTTTTTCAGTTTCAGTACCAAGATGTTTTAACCCAGATTATGTTTGGTAGGCGGTTCATTCTGCTGTGGTGACCTCGGATTAATAAAGGGACTAAGTCGAAAAGAAAATGAATGAATGAATGAATATGTTTGGAATAATTTGAATAAGAAAAAAAAAGCTAAAAACATATCAGATTTATGTAGAGAATGTGTCATCTTACTGATAAATAAATTGGCGTCCTTCCGTCTTACAAATACAGAGATAAACTTACGAGAACACAGCTGCAGTTTAAAAATAAAAGTAAATATTCTCTTGTGGTGATGGGGAAACCCAAAGAAGAAAAAAAAAGTGCGGTGAAGAGTGAGAAGCAGTCCGTTATACACACACACACACACACACACACACACACACACACACACACACACACACACACACACACACACACACACACACACACACACAAGCACGCACGCACGCACGCACACACCTCTTTATTCTGTGCACCTGCGCAAATCTCTGTAACCGCAGCGGAAACAAGCTGAACGCCGGGTTTACTTGACGTCGTGCCGCAGCGCAGCGCAGCGGGGGAAACACGTCCTGCTGACACTTACATGTAGATACACAATAAACATAGTAAACTAAAATCAAGAACGTTTAGGCAACAGTTCGGTCAAACAAAACCGAGTTCACACCTCTGTCTGTCTTAACTATAGTCATGTCTCCAGTCAAAAACACAAGTCTAAAATATTAAACAAATTCTAAATGTTGCATAAAAAGACGCAGTGTGCAAACCCTGCTCTTATGCAGCTGATGTTTTTTTTTTTAAACAAACGTCTTAAGCTTCTTCAGATGACTTATTCACCTTCACAATTGGACTCAGGTTTAATTCACCCTATGTGGTCCATAAAAAGAGATGCTGTTTAAAATAACAGAGAGTAATAAATAATGGCAACATACTCAATTCTTGCGTCAAAATAACTACATATATGAATACATAGATGTCGAATTCGACTGCTCATCACATGTAGCTGCATCTGTTGTCTTGGAGTGATCAGTCTCACATTGAAAATCCAAAATCAATGGTTGTGTCCAAAATGATGCACTATAAATATGAATGTTCAGACTGACTGTCATGACCAAAATATCATTTTTATTTACAATAATAAATCCTAAC